GGCTGAAGGGGTGCAGGGGATTTTAGGGACAGCCTTTGGGGTCCGAGCGACCGCGTGGTGGCAGTATGGGCTAACAACACCCGCCTGGCACCCAGCAAACCGGGCTGGGGGCTGGAAATATTGCAGGGGGGGAGGATGCTGGGGATGCGACCATGGGCCTCTCGCCCACTTGCTGCTTGTGCTCAGCTGTCACACCAGCAGCCAGCCGGGATGCAGGGGATTTTAGGGACAGCCTTTGGGGTCCGAGCGACCGCGTGGTGGCAGTATGGGCTAACAACACCCGCCTGGCACCCAGCAAACCGGGCTGGGGGCTGGAAATATTGCAGGGGGGGAGGATGCTGGGGATGCGACCATGGGCCTCTCGCCCACTTGCTGCTTGTGCTCAGCTGTCACACCAGCAGCCAGCCGGGAAGCCGGGTAGAGGCAGCCGAGGCTTCGGCGAGCATCCCTGAAGTCCTGCGCAGTCCCTGCCCAACGAGGAGGCTCTGCCCTATCCGCACAGCCCCAAATGCTGCACTGCTACTGAATCGCAATTAGTCCACCTGAGGATAATTTCTCTCTATTACGCCGGATCTGGCTCTTGGTGATCCGCGCTAATTCCTCCACCAAGGAGGCTGGGGTGGGCTGATGTCTCCAGGTTCACTTTGCTGGGAGAAGGGGTGCTGCCCAAACTGCCTTCCACTTCCATCCCCACTCTGCATCAGCCTTTGAAGATGCCCCATTTTCACAACCTTGAATGCCTTGAAGATCCTGTCCTCTTCTCCAAGATTGAGGCCCCAAATGCAGCCCTTAGCCTCTGTGCCCACAGCATCCTCCACCTTTCATCTTCTGGTGCCTTTTAGCAAGCCAGAGGTGGAAGGAGAGCCTGGGGAAAAGGGACAAAATGACCCTTGTATCTCTGCCACCCTGGTGCCCATGCAGCATGCTCAGCCCACTGCAGCTAAAGTGATGCTGCTCTATGAAGCCTCTGTCTCACCCCAGCCATCGCCCTCTTTTTCTGGGCAGGGACAAGCTGTCTCACGGGGACACTCCTGCCACCTCCATCTCTCCAAAGAGCCGTCAGTCCCAGAGCCACAGGCATTTTGGGAAGGGAATGTCATGCAACTGCCCCACTTTGCACCTTGATGGGCAGAAAGTCCACCCCACGGGAGAGCGCGGGGCCAGTGTGATGTGCCACTCGGGGCGGTGACCATGACACCATGCGAGTGACTGTGACCATGACCACCAGGCACCATGAAGGAGAGGGCTGCAAGCCCCATCTTAGCTGCCATGGTGCATCGGAAGGGCTGTCTTTGCCCACCCTGACATGGTGTCTTCTCCAAGCTGGTGGCAGGGTCCCCATCTCCCTATGGGAGACAGTGGCTTGCAACCCCGTTCCTCTCCCCTCCTCTCCCAGGAAAGGCGCTCACTGGCACAGCTCATACTGCCCATCAAAGGCTCTTAAAGACAGCAAATAAAATTGCAGGCTCCAATCGATCCGGCACTCTGTAATGCTGTCTTTGGAGGTGGGCCAGCCTGTCGGGCGATCGAGAGAGCAAGAAAGGCAGCGGAGGAAAACAAAGCCATCAAGGGAGCATTAAAGGCTTTTTCTGCCCTGAGGCTTTGGGCAGTGCCTCTGGGTGTGGGGTGTCCCGCTCCAACCTCCTCCATCCTCCCCCAGCCGATGTCGAGATCTTGGCCGCTGCCGGACGCTGAAAACAGCCCGAGCAACACATTGCCCCTGCACGGGCACTTCTCCCTGAGCTCCTGCACGCAGCTTCCCTAATCCTAGCAAATATTTACTTCCCAGTCGCCTCATGGAGCTGCTGAACTCTGTAAAGGCAGAGCTCCTTTCCTTTCACTGCAAACAGTGCCTGCCCTCTCTAATCTGTCTATTAACCTCTCGCATGGCAGGAAGCCACTTCTCCCACGTGCTCTGCTGATGTCCTCTCTGCAAACCCGTCGTGTTTAATGCCCGGCCGTGGTGGCTTCGGAATGGCTTGGGCTGCAACCAGCCTTGCTGCAAAAGCCTGGGGCAAGGGGATGAAAGACTGCACTAAAGCTGAGTGCATCCCACCTGGACATGGTGCTCGCAAGCCATGTGATGTTCCAGCAAAATTTGGACCTGCGACAGGCAGTGAAAGCTGGTACCAGCATCATTGTCTCTGCAGACCCCGCAGAAGCCTGGTGGCAGGGACGGGATTGGCTTTACCACCACACAGTGCCCCAGGTTTTGCATCCATTTGACTACTGTCTCTCCGGCTTGTTGGAAATAGCTGTTGCTTGACCAGCTCCAGCATCTCTGCTCAGCTGGGGAGAGCACAACAAATGCTCCTTGAGGATGAAACAGCTCTGGATGCATCAGCACAGACACAGATTTTTGTCTCCCTCCCCATCTCTAAAGCCCAGTCGTCCTTGTACCCTGAGTCCCACTGCGCAGGGGAAAAGTGTGACCAATCTGTTTTAGAAACCACTAAAAATGATCTACAATAGCTTTTCCTAGCCCTGCTAGGTCATGAGATAATGGACATTA